TAAGCATCAATCTGCTGCATGCAGAACCTGTCATACTAGCACATATGCATCAATCTACCACTACATTATCGGCATAATCACTGCAAACAAGTTATTCTTACAAAACCTACCACATCCTCACACAACATCATGACGCATTACTTGCAAAACGTACCATACAACCTTTGAATCTGCAACATGCTTACAGATCTAAGCTACAAGGCCCAGGGTTTGATGCTACTTACACCCATCGAAGGAAGGGAGCAACTCAGAGAGGAGGAACAAGACTTGCCGCTGCCGACCACCACTGACCGAAGAAGATGTCCTCACTTATTCGTTGGTGAAAAAGCTTTTCCCGGGACGGAGAAGATGATGTCCCTTGCTTGTTCTCTAGCGTGTGTATACAGGTGAGACTTGTTCCTTTTACAAGGCCATCACATTTCTTCCTTATGCGTATATCATGCTATAAACTTATTAACGATCTGTGATAACCACCCCTACATCTTCAGAACGCACAATCATGATATCGTCGATCTGGAGTTAGATTGTACAGTATAACTTTGGTCTCAAAGACAATCTTCATACTTGTTGATCCAGACCAACACACGGATATTTAGCTAGTAAAAATAAATTGTGAAAACAACATCATTATATGCTCAACATCATCGTACACTGATTATATAGTGCCCATATAAATAACAGAAACCTGATACCCAACATATATCTCAGTTATGACCAGGTCTCAATGATAAACTTGCCATTCTTTTTCAGACCCGTCACCCATTGCGAAACATCATTTTTTGGAACACCACCCTGCTGACATAAAACTTCTTCCAATGCAGCCGTAACATCAGCAGGCATTCTGGTAGAAGACCCAGCAACGTATATTGTAGCCTCAGAGGAGCATAACATGTTCAACACTCTTGCACCCTGCTCCCTAATTTTATCTTGTACATAGACCTTTTGAGGTTGATCCCTAGAAAACGCAACAAATAAACCACCACCCTTTTCTAGGGAAAGCACCCCCTGGTCCTGGGCATGATTTAACCAGAAGTCCTTGTACAGAAAATCATTATCTTGATTTCTACAGCCAAAGAAGAATAGAACAGGAGCAGTTGGTTCTGTCACACTCTGTGCAGCCCTTTCCTCCACAAACGCACGGAATGGTGCGCATCCTGTTCCTGGTCCAATAAGCACAAGAGGAACTGATGGCTTTGGATGAGGCAGGGATCCTCGGTATATCCAACACGGTATAATACTCTCTGCACGTAAGTAGACTGTGAGAGAATATTGATGGTTGTTTTCTCATATGATTATATGATATGTCAAGTGGAGAGTACAGATTATTACTAGAGGAGCAGGAGTGCCGTCAAGAAAAAGAACACAAGAAAGACAACACAACAAAGAGAGGTTCCCAACTTTAGCTAGACGAAGCAATGGATACCTTCATTTGGAGAGAGCCCCGCTAGCCATGTAGAGCAGAGACCATGTCGTGTCCTCTTTAAAGGAGTACGCCATGATACAATACTAACAGTCAAGTGTATCTGATTTGGATGGACTAATGGGGATGACGAAATGGAAAATGCTCTTCTTTTTAAAGGCGGTGTCAGTTGCACCAACCATTCAAAAGGCATGTGCACCGAGGAAAACTCCTGCAAAACCTAAAAGCAGAACACATCCATGTCACTTTTGAACCAAAAAAAGCTCAAGTCAAAGGACAACAGGCATGCTAAGGTATGTACTGCAAGAACTTTATCATCAAGAAGACAACTTACTTCCAAAACAGTCCGGTTCTCCTTCTGATTGTACCAGTAAAGGTCGTCTCTTCCTTCAGGAGAAGTTAAATACTGAAGTTTTTCCTTTTGATCGGTATCTGTTGCGAAATAGCTCATGATCTACAGAAGAACATCAGAGTTGTGTGAGCATAGAGGGGGCATATTAGTCATAGACATCAGGATTTCAGAGGCCAACATAAGATATCAAACTACTACAAAAATATGTGTATGAGATGAAGCATTCAGAGTATTCCTGCCTCAAAGAAATATCGCCGAGGGGAAGCTGATGTGACATCCATTGTCAAAGCAACAAAGGTCTTTAGCTTGATGGGATCCATCAAACTGTTCATAGGTGAACCTTTGGAAAGTTTGTCACCACCCTTTGCTCGAATCTGGGCAGCAAAAAGATATTGTTTCCTCTTTGGTTAGCTACAGAACTGCAATGACTGGTTGAAAAGATATATAAGAAAACATAACTACATCTAGATGTATCCCTTTTAATGGATAAAGTCAAGGGTCATGCACTGATGAAAAAGGGAGTACTGTCTAAACCAAGATAAACTGCTAGCTACTAGAGCAAACAATCCCGCTAAAGGCAGTTATATGTGATTTTCAAACATAGAAAATGTGCACATAGCTACTATTGTGGGTTGTAAAAGTGCTAAGAAATTAAAGCTGCTTCTTTAGCAGAGAAACACACAGAAAGTAGGAAAACTAAATCCAAAAGGCGACAAAACAGATCCACATACCGTTATGTAACAATCTGGATCCAAGTTACAGCGTTTAATGAAAGCATCAATAGCTGATGGATTCTGACTTGGTAGAATTTCTAGGGCATCACCAACTTGATAACTGATGGGCTAAAATGAAAAAAAAATGAAACAATATTTTAGTTTCTTCCGCGTGTTTAGAAGATGATTACAAGCGAATATGATCATATGGACCAAAGAACATACAGAATATCGATCTTCCAATTCAAAATGGCGGACATCTCTGTCAGAATCTCCCTTAGTCAAACGTTGATTTGTTACCTAAAATGGTTAGCAATAGCATCAGCAACAGAAACTAAGTAAAAAATGGATCAACTAAACTATAACAAAATTATTACATCATTAATTTATTTTATAGTCACAGTACAGATGAAGCATCCCCATAAATCATAATGAACCATTACTAATTTACTATCCCCAGATAAGTTTATTACACCACAGCCCAGCTATTCACAGAAACCCCAGCTATTATTTAGAAATTCCTTAATGGTACTTACTGAGCAAAATAACATGACAATCATGACAACAAAATGCAAGTTGATCTCAATCATGCATATTTAGGGGTAAAGTGGACAGCTTAATTGTCTACGGAACAAGCAACCGTGCATCATTTAGTGCTGTAAAAGCTAGCTTTGCATTCGAAGCTTGCATATGGTGCATATTTGCCCGTAGAAAAAATGGTATAAGCCAAATCCAGCATAAGGTGCCTCACGCAGTCATGCCCTCACGAGTCCACAGAAAATCTATACAAATTAGTATTGTACAACAAGGCCGTACAACGTACTAAACTACAGTCTAACGTCAGGAGATCGACTTCTATACAAATTAGTTCAGACGCTTTCAACCACTGTAGAATTTGGTAAGCTGCAGCAAATGAAAGTTACTGAGGAGCAAATAATTCAGTGACCCACCAAACAAGACAGGGCAGTATCTTATATGTAAGTGCAGAAGATTCCCTAAAGATGAATGTATACACACGTGTACAATTTCTGGATCAGTTAAACATTCATAAGATAAAATAAATACTGATTTCAACTGTTAAGCTCTTGCAGAGGGTACAAAACATACCATTTGTAACATGAATTGTGGCTCTCCTTCATTATGATACTTCAGAGCAGGGGACATTGAGCGCGCTCTCTCAATTAATATTTTGGGGTCTAGAGAAGATGACATACAGAATCCATTAAAAAGAAATATTACATGGCACTTTACATATTATACTGGTAAACAATAGCAAAATTGAGACCTCCCACCTGAAATGGTGGTATCTTGTGGAGCCGAGTAATATATGACTTCTACCTTTGCATCCCCCAAAATATTCAAATTAGGATGAATGGCATCAGATATTCTTGGTAACAGCGACGGATTTGTTTGATTCAGGGATTTCCACAAAATCAGCAACCACGGATCTAGAGCTCCTTCATATCTAGTATACAATAACAAAATAATTCAGTAGTAACTTTGAGGAATTGCTTTGGAATTCCCCAAAAAGGTGCTTTCTATCAAGAAGTTCAAAAACCAATGCTTAAATGTATCACAAAAAACCATGTCATTTGACTTCTCGAAAGCCCGCACATGAATACAAAAACAATAGCAAATACCAAAAAAAGGATGGTAAATTAAAAGGATACCCAGATGAATGTTGATCATCTCCCAAGCCTTTTTCTGTGATTCTTTCTGCACCAAGATTGAAAAGCCTTCGATCGAGCTTCTTTGCAGGATACTGCAGTGCAAACACGATTGTGAAGATGGAAATAAAATCAAGAAGCATGTACAATTTTGAAAATCATAAGAGTCATGATTTCCGAGTAACAGAGAACAATTTACTAGCCAAGATTTTCTTGAAAATAAAATGAGCATAAAAACAGGGCACTACAGCCAAAGAAGAGTAATGAGATATCAAGATGGTTGATCATGCAGCAAAAATTTATGTTTAGAACATAAAAAAAGGTTAATTCCTGAATGTGCAAAACTGGATATGCCAATATGACTTTGTTATTTTAATGATGTTTCTAGCTAAGCATTTGAATACGGCATAAGTCTTTTGTTCCATATCTTTTCTTCTAACCCTGCGCACCTCACGTGTTGCTAGAACTTTGGAATGTTATATTCATAATTAATTCTCACAAACAAATGAACTACAGATCATTTCATCAAATCAACATAAATAATTGGATTAAAATTTAAAATCAACACATAGCCCAATAGCAGGCTGCAAAATCTAGTCCGGAGTCTCACATTGTACTTCCCATAGGTTGAATCGCCGAGCCCAAACACGGCATAAAATAGCCCTTCCAGCCATCGCGCACCCAGAGACTTTCTGGTAAGGTATGTCCAAAAATCCTGACATCCAAAACCCAAACAAAAAATGGCAATTAGAAAATCAACACTCCAAAAAAATACCAAACAAAAGAAGCACCGATCTCCCAACCTTCATGGAATCTGGGGGGTCCCCCTGCCCCATGGTGGACACAACGAAGACCACATACCTTTCGCGTGGCAGGCAACTCTGCACAAACAAGTGGAAGTACCAAGTGATGTTCATAAGCATCAGATGAAAGGGTTTTGGAGTGGGTTTTCTAGGGTTCCCAGCTTACGGGATCGAAGCAATCCATGGAGAGAACATCGACAGCCGGGCAGCCTCCACGCTCAGCCTCTCGCCCTACACGTTCGGCAGCATCCATGGCGTTGCCAGTTTGCGATGCATAGAGCACGACGAGGCGCTCGGGCAGCTCTGATGACGAGGCCGCCATGGAGAGGTGGGAGCTTGGGAGGGTAAATGGAGTCTGGCCTACATGTTCCATGTTCAGTCTATCAGACACAAGCATAAATAGTCTTTGACAAAGATACAGGTAAGCAAGTTCATTATGTCTTTTTTAACATCTAGTTGTATTGCAAAAACTTAAACAAAGACACACAACTCCAAATTTATCAGCATTAAAAGCAAAAGCGCTGAGAGCACATTTGTGCTGCACACCCACTCTTGGGGATGACAGTCATTACCATCGCGTCGGATGTACACATTCAACTAGGGTCATCTACCAACATGATTGCAGTGATAAGAACAAAATAAAACAAAATAACAAGTTCAGAGAACTGTCTGCTTTGGCTTATGAGTCACAATGCCTCACTTTTCATGAAGTATCCATTAGAGAACCTGTCTGGTAGATTTCTACAGCAAATAGGCTATAGATTTAACTATGATGTATACCAATGATTACAGCACATGCATAACATGTTTTTATAATGTGAGGTAAGACATGACAAATCACTGGCAGCCCGCGCATCGCCACGTTCTTGGTGCTTCCAAATCACTGGCAGTCTGCTCTCAAGGTGAGGCTGTTAAATTTGTGTTCTTTTTTCTGTGATATCGTCATGGAGTGACTTAAAATCAATCTGTACTGCCTTTGATTTCCCTTATAGTTTCTTCATGTCAGATTAATTGGGTCTTCTATAGATTTGGTTGGGATAAGTTAGATTAGGATTTGAACCCAATTTTCCTAAGAAATACAACAATCATGCACCATACACATGTCCACCACATACATACATGTTAAATCCAATAAATCATGCTACAATTTACCACATAAATACATGTTAAATCCTATCGAATTTGCCTAAGCAATCCAACAACCATGTACAGCACAGGATGGAGCAGCAAAGATCATGTGTGGATAAAGGGAAAAGGAGGGCAGAAATCTACCTTGGTCTTCACGGGATGGAGTAGCAGCAACAGCAGCCGGATCACAGGATGGAGTCGGGGCACCGACGTCCGGTGTTCGATAAGAAGCCGTGGGAGGAGGAGGTGCGGGTGCGGGAGGCGCGGGGTGGAGGGAGTCACGAGTCGGCGGATAAAAGCTCGCCGGGGCTAGGGTTTGCACGGGCGGGGTGCCACCGCGTCCGTTCCAAACTTCCAATCGCTCGAACGCGGTGGGGGGTAGGAGGATGAGCTGGTCCGCAAGGGATTCGGGTGGGTCTCCTGACGGGAGTCGCGGGGTTAGAGCATCTCTAGCACACCCTTGCGCGAACCGTCATCAAAGTGGGTAAAAGGCCGCATAAAACGTGTTCTAACGACGCGTTTGGTCGGGGGTAATTAAAGCTAGGGAACGAAAATTGAAGGGATACGAGACTTCAAATTTATTGTTTGGTTATAAGGGGATTGAGAGTGCGTAAAAGAATAGCCATGGGACTTGAGACTCCAATTCCCACCGTTTAATTAGCAGGTGAGGGGTGGGAGTTGAAAGGGAATTATTTTAGTGAGTCAATCTTAACCCTTCATCATAACTTACATTAATTTCCCTTATCAATTCCCACAAACCAAACACGGGAATACAATTTCTCCTCAAACTCTCACACATAATTTCCATCATGCGCCAAATAGGGAATTGGGAATAAAATGATCCATCTCATGTCTAATCTTAGTACAACTCCCTACATTAAACACCCATTCCTCTTCCCAAATTTTGCCAAACGCGCTATAAGGATCGGCGTGGGCTGCGGTTAAACAGACCCCGCAAGGCCGAACAGTAAAATAGAATATTCATAAAAATGACATGTGGTTTTTTTTCTCAATTTGATACATCTATCTACTGCCTCTACAAAAGCATGAAGTGCGGAGATCCAACACAATATCTTAACCGTTTTCTTGATCTTCGTACGGACTAGATATGCTCGCTAAAACACGTTTGATCTAAACATCGTGTTTAGCAACCACCACCCCACCACACTTGTCAGAACCATCCCCCTCAACGTCCTAATGGAAAGAAAAGAGGAACCGCGCTGCAGCTCCGTGCGAGTGTCGCCCCAGCTGTTGAGCAAGCTCATCCCCGCCCCACTGCGGGAGACGCATCCCCCGAGCGTCGCCCCACTGCCAAAGCCCCGCGCGTGAGAGCCGTCCGATCGAGATTCAACGAGAATAGACCATTCATCAAAGATGCATGACCATAAAAAATATTACTCATATAAATAGGATAACAATTATTCTCTGACTTGAATGAATAATCATCTCGCAATAAACAAGATCCATATATAATGTTCATGCTCAACGCTGGCACCAAATAACAATTATTAAGGTCTAAAACTAATCTCGAAGGTAGATGTAGAGGTAGCGTGCCGATGGCGATCACATCAACCTTGAAACAATTCCCACCGCACATCTCACCTCCTCCTTAGTCAATCTTCATTTATTCCGCAGCTCATGTTTCAAGTTACAAATATGAGGAACCGAATCAATATCAAATACCCGGGCGCTACTATGAGCATCAGTAAGGAACACATCAATAACATGTATATCAAATATAACTTTGTTCACTTTGTCATCCTTCTTATATTCCAAGTACTTGGGGCAGTTCCGTTTCCAGTGACCATTTCCTAGAAACACTCAATTTCAGGCTTGGATCCAGATTTGGGCTTCTTCACAGGAGCGGCAACTTGCTTGCCATTCTTTTTGAAGTTACCTTTCTTTCCCTTGCCCTTTTTCTTGAAACTAGTGGTCTTGTTAACCATCAACACTTGATACTTTTTCTTGATTTCTACCTCTGCCGATTTCAACATCGTGAAGAGCTCGGGAATCATTTTCGGCATCCCTTGCATATTAGAGTTCATCACGAAATCTTTGTAGCTTGGTGGCAGTGATTGAAGAACTCTGTCAATAACACTCTCAACTGAAATATCAATTCCCAGCCAAGTCAAGTGGTTATGATACTCCAGACATTTTGAGTATGTGTTCACTGACAGGACTGTTCTTCTCCATTTTATAGCTATAGAACTTGTTGGAGACTTCATATCTCTCAACCCGGGCATTTGCTTGAAATATTAACTTCAGCTTTTGGAACATCTCATATGCTCCATGGCGTTCAAAATGCTTTTGAAGTCCCGATTCCAAGCTGTAAAGCATGGCACACTAAACTATCGAGTAGTCATCAGATCGAGCCTGCCAGACGTTCATAACTTCTGCATTAGCTCCTGCAGTAGGTCTGTCACCTAGCGGTGCATCAAGGACATAATTCTTCTATGCAGCAATGAGGGCAATCCTCAAGTTATGGACCCAGTCCGTGTAATTGCTACCATCATCTTTCAACTTAGCTTTCTCTAGGAACGCATTAAAATTCAAGGGAACGATGGTGTGGGCCATTGATCTACAACATAGATATGCAAAAACTATTAAGACTAAGTTCATGATAAATTTTAGTTCAAATAATCAAATTACTAATGAACTCCCACTTAAATCACCATCCCTCAAGTTGTCTAAGTGATACATGATCCAAATCAACTAACCCATGTCCGATCATCACGTGAGATGGGGTAGTCTTCAATGGTGAACATCTCTATGTTGATCATATCTACTATATGACTCACGTTCAACCTTTCAGTCTCCAGTGTTCCGAGACCATGTTTGTACATGCTAGGCTCATCAAGTTTAACCCAAGTGTTCTGCATGTGCAAAGCTGGCTTACACACGTTGTATGTGAACGTAGTCTATCGCACTTGATCATCACGAGGTGCTTCGAAACAACACATACTCGAGGAGAACACTTTTATCTTAAAATTAAGTGAAGGGATCATCTTATAATGCTACCGTCGTTCTAAGCAAAATAAGATGCATAAAGTATAAACATCACATGCAATCAAAATATGTGACATGATATGGCCATCATCATCGTGTGCTTTTGATCTCCATCTCCAAAGCATCGTCATGATCTCCATCGTCACCGGCGTGACACCTTGACCTCCATCATTGCGTCAGGGTCGTCTCGCCAACTATTGCTTCTACAAATATTGCTAACGTATAACAATAAAGTAAAGCAATTACATGGCGCTTAGTGATTGACACGCTGGTCATACAATAATTAAAGACAACCCTAAGGCTCCTACCGGTTGTTGTACTCATCAATATGCAAGTCGTGAACTTATTACAAAACATGATCATCTCATACATCAACATATATCAAATCACGTCTTGACCATATCACATCACAACATACACTGCAAATACAAGTTAGACGTCCTCTACTTTGTTCTTGCAAGTTTTACGTGGCTGCTACGGGCAACTGGCAAGAACCTTTTTTACCTATGCAAGACTACAACGGTGATTATCAAGTTGCCTTTTAACCTTCTACAAGGACCGTCGTAGTCAAATTAGATTCAACTAAAGTGGGAGAAACAGACACCCGCCAGCCACCTTTATGCAAAACAAGTTGCATGTTAGTCGGTGGAATCGGTCTCATGTACGTGGACATGTAAGGTTGGTCCGAGCCGCTTCATCCCACGATACCGCCGAATCAAAATAAGACATAGGTGGTAAGCAATATGAACATCACCACCCACAACTTCTTTGTGTTCTATTCATACATATCATCTACACATAGACCTGGTTCATGATGCCACTATTGGGGAACGTTGCATGGAAAACAAAAAAAATTATATGCACACGCAAGATCTATCCATGGAGATGTGTAGCTACGGGAGGGGGAGAGCATCTACATACCCTTGTAGATCGCTAAGCGGGAGCGTTTATCAACGTGGTTGATGTAGTCGTACACCTTCACGATCCGTCCCGATCAAGTACCGAACGTACGGCACCTCCGCGTTCAGCACACGTTCAGCTCGATGACGTCCTCGCCTTCTTGATCTAGCAAGAGAGGCGGATATGATGAGTTCCGGCAGCATGATGGTATGGTGACAGTGCTGGTGAAACTTATTCCGCGGGGCTTCGCCAAGCACAATGGACGTGGCGGAGGAGGAACTAGAACTA